TCACGATTGAATTGAGGGCAGTTAACAGCAACAAAGTCATGCTGGCAGGGGATTATGGGAGTTGTAGTCGAAAAGATAACACAGTGTTCTTGTCTGCTTTGGAAATGGTCTTCTACTCTGTCAGGTCATTGGTTTTCCTGCTCAGTATTTACTGTGGCTGACAGCCATTCTCCAGGTGTGAGATAAGTATCTCTCCCAGTTTTATCTGAAATTGCCAGGGACTGAACTTGGGACCTTCTGCCCAGGATATCTACCCTTAAACCAAGGCTTGTCCTGAGACTAGGCTCCATTGTGGTGGTGGTGAAGATAATTTGCTGTTATCTCTTCCATTCTGCCATTGATAGCAAACCAAAGAATGGATAATATTGGAAGACTGTGAAATTACTTTGTTCAGGGATGAGGTGTGTATTTGGTCCCCCAATGCTATTGGACTGCAAGACCCAATAGTGGGGAATAATGGGAACTGCTGTTAAATAACATATGGATGCCCATTCTTCTTGTGGCAGTGGTGGTTGTGTGCCTTCAAGTAATTTCTGATTGATGACGACCCAAAGGCAAATCTATCACGGGAGTTTCTTGGCAGAATTTGAACAGAGAGGGTTTGCCTTTGTCTTTCTCTGTGGTTGGGAGAGTGTCACTTACCCAAGGTCATCCAGTAGGTTTCCATGGCCAAGCAGGGATTCGAACCCTGGTCTCCCAGCGTCCCAGTCCAACACACAAACCACTACACCATGCTGGCTTATGGAAGTCCATGCATCCTCCAATTTGGCTGATGGAAATGATCAGACTGGGAGAAGAGGAGAAAGATTGTCCACCCCAACAAATTTTTTTCCAGAGGAGTTAGCAGTGTTGGATTATTGCAGTAAAAATAACCAAAGGCTCTTGTAAGATATCCCCCCCCCCCTTCCCTTTGGCAGAATGTGTTATGGCCTGTATCCTTGCACTGTATGAATTGAGATGGAGTCCTTGGAAGCTTCTGCCAAGTAAAACTTGGTCTGTATGGTGTCACAAGATTCTTGTTTCACCACAACAAAGGCTTCTTTGAGCGTTGTTTCAATGCATCCTGTTTCTTCAGAAAGGGAGAGGGGATTTTTCAGCAACTGTTGGTTGGCTGGAGTGACCTTTCCCTTTTTTCTCGCTCTGTCAGATCCGGAAATCAGATCTGATCAGAAATCAGTTGCGATATTCTATCATTTTTCTTTTAATTGTTGGCTCAAATTTTGTTGCTCTTCCAGTTGGTAGCTTGAGTTTAAAATCTCAGGTGTCAATTTTCAAAAGGAAAAAAAAAGTCCTTACTTTTGCAGAGAAGATGCCAATTATTTGGGGTGCGGTGCAAACAACAAATGTTTTATTGTGCTTAATTTCAATGGCAGTGAATGCAAGTAAAAGTATTTGGGGTCTCAATTTTGCATTTTATTGCATTTAATCATAGTGGTTCTAAACAGAAGTGTGTTTGGGCCTGCAATCTTGCATTTTATTGCACTTAATCCCACTGGTTCTGAATGCAAGTTAACATATTTTTAGACTGCAGTCGTGCATTTAATTAAATCTAAGTGGTTTTGTATCTTAGTAGAAGTATTGGGGGCTCTAATCTTACTCTATGAAAATCAGTGGGAGGTTTGCTATAATAAATAGCACATTAAAATTATATTGTATATCAAGAATAACTCATATGTGTGGTAAGGGACCAGAAACAGGACAGGTTGAGAGTTATCAAGTTATTCATAGTGTGGAAAGAATCGGTAGAGGGAAAAGCGAAAAAGAATGGTTTCATTTTTCTCCAAATACCAGAATACAGGAGTGAACAGTTCAGTGGATTGGCAGAATGTTTGGGTCAGCGAAAAGAAAGTACTTTTATATATATATAAAACACGTTATTAGTTTATGCAAACAGAACACAAAGCAAGCTGTTTTGATCCACTGGGAGGGATCTAAAATTCACACTTTGGTTGCATCTGCATTGCAGAATTAATGCAGTTTGACACCACATTAATTGCCATGGATCAGTGTTGTGGAATTTTGGGGTGTGTAGTTTTGTGAGATGTTTAGCCTTCTCTGTCAGCAAGCTCTGGTGCCACAACAAACTACAAATCCCAGGATTCCATTGAATAGAGCTATGGGAGTTAAAGTGGTGTCCAACTACATTAATTCTGCAATAGCCCTTGTTCTCTGTGGGAGCTAATATCCATACTACAAAATCATACTACTATGATTCCACTTTAACTGCCATGGCCGCATCCTATGGAATCCTGGGATTTTGTAGTTTGTCAAGAATTCTGAATGCTTCCCCCCTAAACTGCAAATCCCAGGATTCCATAGGATGGAACCATCGCAGTTAACTTGGAATCATAGCATCACAGATATACAGTGTGAAAGGGCCCAAGGAAGACTCCTGTTTCATGCCTGAGAAAGAACCTGGATAGGAGGGAGGCAGATGTACATAAATTTTTGATTTTCAGGAATGTGGGTTCATCTATTATATATCCCTGTGTCTCAGCGATCCTAGACTATTCTAGGATAGAGAAACGTCTCTCTAGAGAGCAGAGCTACTGGACTGAAACTCTCATCATCCTTGATCATGGGTCATGTTTGCTGAGTGTGATAAAAAACAACATTTGGAGGGCCACAGGTTTCCAATCTTGCCTAATGCAGTTAATCTCAAAGGCGCTACAAGGTCTCTACATACAAGTGCAATCTGCAATCTCTTCATCCCATTTTTAAAAGCACATGCCAAGAGTGTGGTTGCAAAATCAAGCTGGTTCCTACCTCACCCTTCCTTTTTTGCATCATCATCTCACCTGAAGAGGTGTTGTAAAGAAGGTGAAAACTTCCAAACTGTTTTGTACAGCTTGGAGAAGTTACTTTTTTGGACTACAGAGTTTCCCCTCCAGTATGGCCGTATTGGATTGAACATTTTAGCCACTAAAGTCCAAAAGGTAACTTCTCAAGCTTTGTTGTTTTGTAACGTTGGGATGGACCCTAGAAACAAGTGTGGGAATAACTGCCTCATGATATTCCCTGCTATGAGAGATATTATAGGGCACCAGTTTAGAGAGCATCTTGTTGTTGTTGTTGTCGTTGTAGTGTGCCTTCAAGTCATTCTGACTTATGGCAATCCTGTCATGGGGTTTTCCTGGCAAGATTTGTTCAGAAGAAGTTTTCCATGCATTCCTCTGAGGCTGAGAGTGTGTGACTTGCCCAAGGTCACCCAGTGGGTTTTGTGGCTGAGCTGGGAGTCCTGGTCTAACACTCAAACCACTAGGCCATGCTGGCTCTCATAGAGAGCATCTAGACTGATTAAAAAGACCAGAAAATTCCAGATTTTGGTCTCATTCTTTCCAGTTTTAGTTTGGAGTTCCACACATGGTTTGTTCATGTCAGAATATTTTCTGTCAACTCCTGGTATGACCAGAGGCTTTTTATACCAGCTCCCCAGGTTGATTTATTTTAACCTAGTATAAAGTGGGTGGTAGGGTGGTAGACAAAATCTGGGACTTTTCAGTTGGTACTCAATTGTGTCTAAAAATGACTTTAAATGAGGGTTTGGGAAGGATGTGTTAAGACAACAGCTAAAATGAGCAGTGATGATTAAATGAGGCCTCCATGCTTCAAGGCAGTCTATCTCAGAACCACAAATGCTAAGGGTGAACAAGAGAGGAGGAGTGTTGTATTCATATTGTATTTTTCCCCAGTTACCAGAGGCTTCTCGCGAGAAATTTCTGGATTAAGTGGATCCATAGACTGATTCTGGAACTAACTCCACCATTAACATGTGAAACCAATTCCTCCCAAACCAAGGGCTCCACAGGTGTATATACGCCTCACACTTCCATGCCACCATCCTCTGAACAGATGCAGGTGAAACATCAGGAATAAACTCTTCCAGAACATGGCTGCACAGCCTGAAAAACCCACACAAAACTATGGGCTCGTTCCCACTATGATTTACAGCATACACAGCCCCCCTGGGTATGGCGGAGACAGCAGTGGCTGGCCTGCTCCTGCCTGGGTCCTCCACCGCCGATGCTTCCAACCCTCCATGCTCCTCCACCTTGGGAGGCTTGGCTACCCAGCAGCCCAGCCTCAGTAGGAACTACATGGATCAAACCCTAAATTGGATTCCATAGTGGGAACTACCCATCGAACTCAATAGATCCCATGGCCCGGTGTGAGAGCGATTCACTAACCAGTTTAAATGTAAGTGGGAATGATATCTATGGATGCCGGCCATGAAAGCATTTGACTTTACATTGATTCTGGAAGGTTCTTATATTTGTGTGGACTGATTAATTTTCTCTTTTTTCAGGCACAGAACCCTGCAGATGTTCAGCCAGCAGCAGCAGCATCCTTCCTCTTAAAAGAATATAATAATAATAATAATAATAATAATAATAATAATAATA